TGCTGAACCAGTGCAGTGCATCATAGGCTTCCCATGATAATAATACATCACTGAACCATAGTCTGTGTGGGAGGCCTAGCCAGCAGAGGAGAGAAGGGAGATGAGGTACCTGAAATACCATTTTTGAGACTTAGGGGAAGTTCAGGTAAATGCATTCTAGTACTGAACTGAGCTGAAATACAACATTTCTTCATTTCATTAGAACTTTTCATTTCTCAAAAGTCAATATTTGACTTAAACATCAAAATATCTGAATTTCCTATGAGACAGACAATTGAATTTTTGCCCAGTTCTACTTATAACAGGCAACTCAGCAGTTCTGACCCTTAATAATGGGCTGTGCTACACATACACGGTGATCCAGAGGGGCCCAAATTACAACCAGCGGAGAGCAGGAGGCGCTCATAGAGACACATTTTCTGAGGGATGTTATCATCTAATTACTGTACAGTTTTCTAGAATATGTGAAACAAGCCTGGCTCCTAGTAGATTCAAATCCCAGCAGCAAAATTCCAGCCTTTATCTAAAAATTTTCAAGGATGGGAAATTTGGGCCTTTCCCTTGGTTCGAGTGCCTGAGAGGGGGCTGTCCACATTGAAAAACACCCCTGCTTACACTGGATTCAAGAGTTGTCCATTTCAGAGATGCAAACCAAAAACTGGATAGGAAGAATGAACTATGCAATCTCAGGAGAGATTTATTCCAGGCAAAGGGTTGTACATTCTGGCCCATTTTTGAACCCATATTTGATACTGAATCTCTTTACTAGCTCAATGATATGTTGAATTCATAGGTGTATTTCCTCCACTCCTTTTAATTCTAGAATGAACTCCATTGGAGAGTTCTAAAAACAGCAAAAAAGGTTAGTACAGGAGCAGAGAAAGCAATTTCTAAGGAAAATTTATGCATCAAATTATGTCTTCAGTTACAGCAATGTAAATCTGGATAAAGGAGCATATAATTTAGTCTAGGAAACCAACAAAACATCTTTAAATATCTGAAGAATGTAAAAGGAGAAGAAAAATCAGCTAGCATGAGGTGGAAAAATGTTAAAATAAATAAAACCACCAATATCAAGAGAGAGTTTCTGATAGCATGATTCCCAAGTTTGTGGGACTGTGTCCCGAAAGAAGTAGTACAAATCCTATTACTTAGCACATCTCACAAAAACCCTGAAGGGTTCAACATACATACTGTTATGATGAATCCTGCATTGACACAGAAAGGACTAGATCATTAATAGAACATTTGTACATCACAAATGTGATTCTGCTTATCTGAGGTGCAAACAATTTTTTTTTAAACTATATGTTTTATATTTCTCCCATGCAGAAAAATGAGGACAACTTCATTATCAATACAGGAAAAGTCATTCAAAATAATTTTTATTTGAAGATTCCTCTGTTTAAACATGACTGCATTCCTAAACCAGAGTTTCCTCTGCTCTCAACATGGATCCAGATTGGAGTCATCATCTTTTTCTTAATCATATTTGGATTATTCTCCAGTATCCTGGTTCAGCTTAAAGTACTAGTGTCAAGTTCATTCTATCCCAACATAGAGATGACAAGGATCCGTTACCTGCATTCAAAATTACTGAGATACAGAGAAAAGCCTCCACAGAAAAATGTGAAAAGGAAACTTAACTCATTTGCTCAAACGGTAAGCCATAAATACTATGAAAAAACAAATCTTTCTCTACAGGTAGCTGCAGGATTCAGATCTGGATTCAGATGAGAACTTTGCCAAAGACCAGGTGGTTTAGTCTTCCCACTTTTTGCTTGTCCTGAAGAGCAAACAAGTTCAAATCTTTCTAGTAGGCAAATTATCTCTGTCCCCAATTCAGAGATAATTTTCCTGCCAGAAAGATGTAAACAGAGTTATGTCAGCACGTTTTCTTCTCCACATATCACACACAAATCACATTTGAATATAAACGTACAGTATTTACTTGATTTACTTAGGCCCCAATCCTGTGGCCAGATGGGGAGGACCCCACATGCACAACAGGATCAGGGCCTGAGATTGTTAAAACATGCCAAAGCTCGAGGCATATCTATGAAAATCCACCTTAAAATACGTAGGGGGTAGTGGTCTATTGGGGCACCTATACATGTGCCCAATGCCTGCTTCAAGACATGTTAATTAGCACACGTTGGAGCAGACTTGATTAATCGAACAAGCTTTAGTTAAAGCAGCACTGCCACAATCTTGAAGCACAGGACGCTGAATACATGAGATGCTGTGGGTGCTTTAATTAGATTTAAGGAGCTGGGTGGCTGTGTTGGTAAAAAACTGGTACTCAGTTGGAATCTGATACATTTTTCTGTCTTCGTAGCTCCAGTTCTGGTTCCCGATATTCAAGGCAATGGGGACAATCAGGAAGAAAGAAAAAGACATGATAAATGAAAACAAGGTTTGAAAGAGGCCACATAACTCTTTGGCTAAGCTCAAGGTTATTTGTGCAGCAAGTCTCTGCATATTGTACCTGTACTGCTTCTGTTTTTAAAAATATTTCTGTAAAGTACTGTCAGTTAATTTCCATATTATATTTAAATGTTAAAGAAGTAAACATAGCTCTCACAGGACAGCAGCCTACAGTTGTTTGGCAATGCTGGGCGTTGCAAGCAAGCAATATGAAATAGCACTTGAGATTTCCCAACAATGTCTGGCACTTGTGCAATCCTTTAAGGCCTGATCCTCATTAATGTTGTGGCCATGATACACCACTCTGGGAGCCTTGCTCTGTAATTATCACACTGACTCTGTGGCCCTTTTAACAGATGAGCATAAAGTCATTTCACTGTACATGAAAACTTCAAACCAATCAAACTCGTTAATCATGGGTTTAACTTTAAGCATGTGAGGTTCCCTTTGAAATGATCGGCACTACTTATGAGGTTGCATAGGTAACCTGAATCCTGGCATTTCCTAACTTAAAAGTGCTTCACTTTGCATCCTGTGTTCTTTTAACACAGCTCCTTGGCTGAAAACAAAAACAAATGAGCTAGGGGGGAAAGAAACCCAGAAATTGTATCATGTTGATACCAGTTAATCAGAAAGGGATGAGACACGTGCCAGTGGGTTTCACTTGTTAATGGCAAAGGTTGGTGAAGCCTAAGGAGTCTTGTTTTTCTTGCTTAGCCAGTCTTTATCCCTCCCTCCCTACCCCACTCTCTGCCTACCCAGTCCCTTACTGTATTCTTACATGTCCTTATATAGTTTATTCCCCATGCCCCTCGGCACTTGTTTTTAGTCCTAGTTTCCTTCTCTGGCCTCTATCCAACCCCAGCCCCTCACCATTCAGGAGGTGTCAGTAGTCAGTAACACCAGCACCTACAACCACGGTGAAGTGGGGAACTTGGCAAACACAGGAAGGGGATTGTTCATAATAGACTGAGATATAGTCTATTATGAACATAAGACACTTTACTGCACAGTAGAGCGAATTTCCGTGCATTAAATGTCACTGTCTGTGTGTGCAGACCCTTACTGCGCAGTAATTTGCTCTACTTGGCAATTAATTTTTTACCTGCATTAGATGCCTTACTCCACAGTAACTACTTGGCAGTTAATTTGTTAATAATATTTGGATTATTCTCCAGTATCCTGATTCAGCCAGGTAACAAATTACCTGCCGAGTAGTTACTGCATAGTAAGGCACATGTAGATGGCTGACCAAGAGCTAATTTGCTACTGGTCAGCTGGGCAGCAGGGGGCAGGACATTACTGCCTATCCCTGGGAGCTCCCTGCTGTTGGAACGGGCTCCAATGGCTGAGCCCAGGTGGGGACAATGTCCCCCTGCTTCGGCATCAGGGAGTTCAGAGATTAGCAGAAATGAAGGAGATGATAATGAACCATAAAGTCAATTGACTCTCTTGGCACTGCCTGAATACCTGAATAGAAATTCTGCTGCCCCTCCCAGAGAGTTGGTTTTAAAACTTGGGTGGAACAGGAATCAAAGAGGGGTGCAACTGCACCACTGTACTTGCTCAGGATGCACCCCCAGACACAGAGATGTGTATGGTTTAACAAACTCACTCCAGAACTACGAATGGAACCCATGGCATATGTGGCGTTGAGCCAGACACCATTTTCTCCCTCTCGGCTATAGGGAAAAAGCAGCTAGACACAATTACTCTAAAATGCTTGTGTAACCCCCAATCTGTCATTGACACAAATGTCTCCAGTGTAAGGTAATAAAGATTTATTTAAAGTTTCCAGTATTGAATGTCTGGAGTTACTTTCCACTTAAATGAATATGAAGCTACTCTCTACAATACTTGTATTATATTGCCAAAAGCAAGTTGCAATTGTTGCAGCAAGATATTGCTTTTCTAGCCTGTTCTGACTAGGCTAATCCCATGTGAAAAGGTTTGAATAAATGTACCAGCTACACCATGCCATGCAGATCTTCATCTCCTCCTCCCCTCCAAGGATTGTATGAGTCAGCATGAAAGTGCAGCGCAAAGCAATATAGAGAAGTAAATCTGAACAGAATTAGTCATCATCAACCACTCTCAACCTGATGCAGAATGCTGCGTGGAACTACCTCCCCAAGGCAAGTGGAAAATACAGAACAAGTCTGAGGTTTGACATACACTTTAAGCCATTATTACTGAATGCTGTCAATATCTTAGATCTCGTGTTATTTTTCTAAAAGAGTAAAGCATCAAGCTAAGTGTCCCTTGGTCCTTTGAGTTCCTGTCTCTACCCACTCAATCTGAGAACAGTTTAATCCTCTGTAGATGTTGATGGTATGGTGGACTAGTGACAGCCTTTTGCCTCTAGAAATATACATTCTTGATCACAAGAGTAAGCTGCATAAGGGACAGACTGAATAAATCTATTCTTCACATGCTGTGGCTGCAACAACCACCCTTATTAATACTGCAGTAACTCTAGCTACCTTAAGGGCCCCATGTATTGTTGAGATGCCCCTCTACTTAGGCTAATAGTAAATTGGACATTGAAGTCCAGCTGGGGAAAGGGGAGAGGTAGTATAGCTGGAGGAAAGTAAGACAGTCATCAGAAGAGCTCTCAGCTACTTGCCACAATTCTGCCAGAGATGCTCTCTTCCAGGTGGGATTCAGTCACTTCTCTCCTTGGCATGCTTGACATAATATAAGCATCAGTCACTGGAGTTGCATCTTTTTAATATCTCTGCTTGGCTCCTACATCCTGTACATCAAGCCATTGATGGAAGGTAACTAACAAGTTATTTTTCAGGTTTTTAGGAAGCAAAAGGAAGGTGCAGGGTAGCATAGGACAAACTAGGGCAATTGGTGCAGGGTAGCACAGGACAAACTAGGGCAATTGGTGATGGGGGGGGGAGGGGGAAGGAGGGACAAAGCTGAGCTTTTCAGTGAATTCTTTGGATCTGTATTCCTAGACACAAACCAAGACAAATCTCTCAATTGGACCGTAGATAGACACAGGAGGGACACCAGCCCACCAACTGTTAGCACAGGCTTAGTGAAGGGGCACTTGGAGGGGCTGGATGTGTTCTAATCAGCAGGCCCAGATGAACTTCATCTAAGGGTGCTGAAGGAATTGGCCAGTGTCATAGCAGAGCCATTGGCATGGCTGTTTGAGCACTCATGGTGCTCTGGTCAGGTCCCGGAGGACTGGAAAAGGGCCAATGCAGTCCCTATTTTCAAGAAGGGGAGGAGGGAGGAACCAGTAAACATTAGGCCAGTTAGTCTCACCGCTACCCTTGGGAAAACTCTGGAAAAAATTATTAAGGATCACATTTGTGGGAGCCCAGCAGGGGAAATAATGCTGAAAGGAAATCAGCACAGGTTCATTGCAGGTAGATCCTTCCTGACTAACCTTGTTTCTTTTTATGACCAGGTCACAAAATGCTTAGACGCAGGAGTTAAGGTAGATGTCATCAACTGAGACTTTAAGAAGGCCTTTGATATGGTATCACATTCTGTTCTTGTAAATAAACTGACAGGCTGTGATATAGATAATTACAGGTGGGTGGCAAATTGGCTTAGGGGGTCGCACCCAGATAGTGGTGGTGGATGGGTCAACATCGACCTGGAAAGATGTGGGCCATGGAGTCCCTCAAGGCTCGGTCCTTGGACCAGTGCTATTCAATGTCTTCATCAGTGGCTTGGACAAGGGAGTAGAGAGCACCCTGTCCAAGTTCACAGATGATACCAAATTATGGGGCAAAGTTAACACACAAGAGGGTAGGGAATGGATCCAGGTGGATCTGGACAGGTTGGAAAAATGGGCAGAATGAAATAGGATGCAGTTCAACCAAGACAAGTGCAAAGTGCTGCACCTGAGCAAAAAAGAACCACCAACACACTTACAGGCTGGGGGATGACCTTCTCAGTAGGCAGCAGTGGAAAGGGATCTTGGAGTCATAGCTGACTCCAAGATGAACATGAGTCATCAATGTAACAAAGTGATCAACAAGGCTAACTGCACTTTATCATGCATTTGCAGATGCATGACAAACAGGTACAGGGAGGTGGTACTTCCTCTCTATGCGGCACTGGTCAGGCTGCAGTTGGAGTAGTGTGTCCAGTTTTGGGTGCCGCACTTCATGAGGGATGCGGAGAATCTTAAGGGTTCAGAGGAGGGCCACTCATATGGCCAGAGGCCAGTAGGCAAGGCCCAGCGAGGAAAGACTGAGGGACCTAGATCTCTTCAGCTTTTGCAAGAGAAGGCTTAGAGGTGATCTTGTGGCTGCCTATAAATTTATCAGGGGAGGGCAGCAGGGAATAGGAGATTAGGAGATGCTTTGTTTACTAGGAATAACTGGGAACAATGGCCACAAATTGATGGAGAGCAAATTTAGGTTGGACATTAAAAAGAACTTTTTCAGGGCTGCCAGAATCTGGAATGGGCTTCCAAGGGAGGTAGTGCTCTTCCTCGCCTTGGGGGTCTTCAAGAGGAGACTGGACAAACACCTAGCCTGGGTCATCTGACCCCAGCGCTCTTTCCTGCCTAGGGGAGGGGGTTGGACTCGATGATCTACTGAGGTCCCTTCCGACCCTAACATCTATGAATCTATGATAGGGAAAAAAGAAGCAATGCCATGATGAGGGCAGCAGGTAAGAAAAGAGAAAATGAAATATTTGGGAATGGGAAAAGGAAAACTCCAAATAGCCCTCAAAACTGAAGCTGAGAGGGCTCCTTTATATTGAAAAAAAAAAATGGAAATGTGGAGGGGACACATTTCAGTTCCCTAGATATTATATGGGGAGTGGCAGCACATGGAGGAACAGAAAAGAATAATCACAGAGAGTTTATTATTAATATATTGTCCACATACTGACACACACACACTGCCGGTGTGATTCTGGTTTTGCTGTCTGTAGTAGAGGTCTTACAGCAGGATCAATGGGGACTCCTCTTTTACATTTCCTTCTCTAGATCGATTAAAAAACCTAAGAGAAGTGGTTATGGTAATATGCGTATATGGAGCTAAGAGTTATGCTGCATTTGGTAACAGAAATCAAATCTATATACCTAGTTTAACTGGAGTCTCCCTTCCTTCCCTCCCTCACCCCTTTATATGTGTGTGTCTCTCTCTCTTCCCCCTCCTCCCTCTTGGGAGCTTGCGAGGAATGTTAATGATCTGAAATCTTCCCTCTAGATATCTTGAACCATCTGTCAGCAGGTCACTCTTGCTTGGTTTACTGGAGGATGGTACACTTCCAGACCTTTCTTCTGTTTTTCTCTATCCTCTGAGTTGGGTAAATTTGGGTTTTTCTTCTTTTCTGGTCCACTTTGTGCATTGCTTCCCTTCGCTAGTGGGTGGTCAAATGTTCAGGGGTGAGTTTCCTTTTATAGAGTTAATTTGCTTGCAAGGGGCTATTAAAAAAAAATCAAAGGAATCACTGGCAGTGCATGACATGTACTCTGTGGATAACCTGAAAGAGAGGCCAACCAAAGAGTAGAGATGAAATTAGACAAGTATCAGCTACTAGGGCTGTGCAAAGCTTCAGGTGCTGGTTTGATTCAGAGGAGATTCAGCCTGATTCGGTGGCCAAATCTCCAAATTGAATCAGGGGACCAATTAAAAGGTCCAAATCAATTCAAAGCTCTCCAAATTGATTTAGAAAAGATTCAGAGAGCTTTGGCGATTTGGGCAGTCCGAACTCACTGCAGCAGGGAGCTGGACCCGGACTCCACGCTGGTAAATAGGGGGCAGGGAAGGGGAGGCTGGAAAAGGGGGGAGGGGACCATGGCCCCCCGCTCCCAGTTGTTTAAAAAAACAGCCCCACTCAACAGGTGCTGCCACCGAGGGGCTCTGACCCCCACGCACTCTCCTGGCCCCCCGTGGCTGCCCTGCCCACCCCAGCTCCCGGCCCTTTAAAAAAAACAAAACCAAACCCCTGGACTTACTGGCTGCTGCAGTGGCCTCAGGGGTGCTGGGGGCTTGTGGCAGATCCCCCCATGCAGTGGGGGGATCAGTGGGGGGCAGTGGGGATCGCCCCTGTGGTGGGCAGGAGCTGGTGTGTCTGGGGGGGGGTGTTTTTTTTTAAAGGGCCAGGAGCTGCAACAGGTAGGACAGCCATGAGGGGCCTGGGAGAGCGGGCAGTGGTTGGGGGGGCTTGTGGCAGAGCCCCCCCCATGTGGTGTGGGGCAGTGGGGGGGCAGCAGAGCCCACCCCACACCAGACAGGAGCCAGTGAGTGGGAGTTTTTTTTCCCAAAGAGCCAGGAGCTGGGGCTGGGCAGGGCTGGGAGAGCGGGCAGGAAATGGGGTCTTTGTGATCCGGAGATTTGGCTGATTTGGCAGGAGCTGAATCTCTGAATCAGATTTGGCTAAATCGACTCAGGACAGTGATTCGACTCACCGAATCAAATCACTGTTCTGCAAACTGGCCGAATCTGAATCCAAAGCGAATACTAACTGCTTCACACAGGCCTACCAGCTACACAAAAAGCCTCCTTCCACTACTGCTACTATCACACCAGGAAATTCTTACGCAACTATTTTTACATGCAGATCCTATTCGACTGCAAATTCAAATCCTGTGAGCTTTCTCCACTTCAGAGGAGTGCTTTCTGCTAGGAAGTGCTCTTGGCTCCCAGGCAGAATACCATTCCTGTTTCTCTTCATGCCCTCTCTCCCTTCCGAACATAACAGAAAGCTATTATTTTCTTTCCTTCTCTTCCATTTTCTTGTATGTTTTCCATGTTTTAATCACCCACAAAGCATTGATTACCTT